CAGTGCCCAGTCCCTTGTGTGGCGGCTGACAGGCACAAGAACATGATTGCAGTTAGCCATTAGTGCCCGGTTTCCGATCCAAAACAAAGGATCCAGATAGTTACTGTTGATCACGGGTACCTGTCATTACCACCGTTAGCCTTCTTTCATCCAATAGCCCGCTTCATTATTTGAAATCATAAATTAGTTCAGCATAGCAACATTATCTGAAGTTTTGATTTATCAGGATTTGCTGCTATTTTACCGTCTGATTTGTGTCAAAGTTATACAACTAGCAAAGCAGTGATTTTCCGCGCAAGATAAGATTCATATCATACATGTGATTCATCGTTCTTAGACTCTACTAGGCGTATAATTAAGCCGAACCTTAATTATCCATTGTTTGTATCCCTCATTTGCCGTACCACCTGAGCTTCGTTCCTCGTCACGTTTTCTAGACGTGGTATTATATTTTTTTCGAATATATTATTATAGTCGACTGCTGTCGTTCGAGCCACTTTTACCAGCTCCATGACCTACAGAACCGTCGCCCTGGCATATTGTTACTGTGCCTGTGATTAATATGGCCGTATACTCATATGAATGACGAATCGAGAGGCAAACGTGATGGCAGATAATTCAAAGTGCCCCTGTTGACGCTGGACAGACGAAGATCGATGGCGAAGATTTGGCTATCGATGCTTTGTGATGGTGGTGCTTGCCGGTGTCCTTGTCAAAGCTGTTCCTTGACGTCTGTGCGTCCACGATTACAGGCGCATTCGATAGGCTAGAAAAATACTGTTGCTCGTAGCGGCAGACAATGATCATTTGAGGACAATCGCATGACGCGTTTGGTGGATGGAGATGCTGTGAAACGCGATCGTTTCGTAGCTGTGAAAAAACAGGGCCGGTGTCGAACTTTATGGCGCACTCATTTTTAATTGAAGCGTACTATTTTAGTAAATGTCTACCCTGCTCGATACGGATGGCTTAATCTAAGCTAATTGACGGTTTGAGCGTCGTGCCGTCAAGATCATTGGCGATATGCACTATGCGATTTGTACGACTAAACTTGCTTACTTGGGTATTCGATGGACAGAATTATCGGAAGCACGTCTGCACTATTACCGTTGCGAGAAACAACGCTTGACAGAATCAAGGCTGTTTTATAGTTAACTCATTGTCAGATTAGTTATAGACTCAGATGAGGTGTACGCCTGATCTGTGATACAATCCGCGCTGTGTGAAGATCAGACATTGACCACGTTTTCATGTCTGTATGAGCCACTGCATACGTTGTTAGCGAATTTTCGAAATTGACACATCGTAAGGCTGAACAATGTGTGATACGGCACAGCCTGGGTTTACGGCCCGTTGCGCAGTGACGTGTATGTCAAAAACAGACCTTGCCAAAAGGCAGAAGTAGTTCGACCATTCTTTTCTTGGCGTTTCACCTAAATTCTAAACTGTTTCATAAAATATTAGCCAAACGAGGTTAAGGAAAGTCCTAAGTTACAACAGAACGACTTAAACTTAAACTAGTATTGAAGCTTCTGACGCGTCGACTAGTTACTGTTCGGCTTTTCAACTCTCCAATCACATTGTCGGCCATCGTAGCGATATACTGTTCGCTACTCTGTTTCTGTCATACCATCATTGAGGTGGTGTTCCGTGTAGCCAGCATTTAGCAACTCGTTCTGTTTTCTTATCAAGGGCCCCGCATCCACGAAAATTAACGTTCTAAACGACATACAGGACATATACGTAGAAAAAGAGAATAGATAGATAGAGAGAGTGAGTGAGAGACGTAAAATACGATGAGGCGAGGGACTTTCCAAAGTTCGCCAGTTGACTAATTCAGTGTTGTCCGGCACGATGCGCTGTGCCATCGGTCACCGCCAGCTAGACCCGCGGCTGGATAGGTTCAATGGATCGTTTTAGATACGACGGTCAGTTTCGACTATAGAAACAAGTGATGAAGGAAGCGTTCGACAATGAAAAGTAAATGCAGAAGCTATATATTTGTCGTCACTGGAAGAACCGTCAATGCTATCAACGCACGAACAGGGTGAATCACTTATATAGGTACGAATGGTAAACATCGTCGATAGGACACAACGTGGGGATCTGGCTACTTTTCCATGGGTGCAGGTGCGTCCGTCGAAACCATCTGCTTAGAAGATAGAATTTATATTCTATCGGCGCGCAAAAGTCAATGTTACAATTAAGTTTAACTTAATTATCATAAACGCTATACGAGATAGCGATTTGAGATAGCTCAATCAAACTAATCGATACGCAGTCAAGCGGTTTGTCATAGACATTTTTCTGGACAGTTCTCTGCGGTTAAGATGATGTCCTGGCATAGGCGACGGTGTGAGAGATGTGAGGCGAGTGATGGAGGCGCTTTTGGCAATGCCTTCCAGTCGTGGGGTCAGTATAAGCGCTCGCTGGTTGAATCGCTCTACGTGATACCACAGATAAAATGGTAATTTGATAAACCTAACTCGTTTGTCGATCCAGGAAAACGGGAGTTACAAGTCGAGGATATTATGGGCCGTGAAACGTGACCATGCTGCGAACGATCGCTGAACGTCATCAAAGCAATTCGAAACCGATGAAGATTGCTGCTTCAAAAATAAATAGATGTATTATCCTTAATTTAACTAACTATAATAATAGTAAGTTGCATCGATCAGAGGTGTTGCCAAGAACGCTTGACGATCGTTCATCTATTCCAGTTAGGTTTTCTAGAATATATTAATATTTTCTATACTATACCCATAGGATTGGTGTGCAATAAAATTGTCAGCAGATATCCTTTCAGCCATTATGCTTCCAGTAGCAAGAACGCGGATCGTACCATTTGAAGATTTCACTTACGTGTCGTTAGTGGCTTGAGGGAAACTGGCGTCCTTGATTTCCTACCCCACCTTAAAATGAAGCCTACTTTTAATCCTCGTAGGGATAATACATATGGTCCAGGTATTTTCCCAGTAGCCGAATATAGCACCGGTTGTATTGCTTTTCTTAGGCTGCTTCGAATAGTGACAGACTGAAGCAGTTTGTGCTTAGCTCTGCACACTATCCAATTAAATATATATATATATATACTATATTTTTAAGGATGAATTTATGGTGTTGAGACAGGAGTACGTTGTAGTGTTGTCGATTTGCCACCTTCCAATAGCCTATACAGTGGTGAGTTCGATGGCTGAGTGACAAAAGACAGACGTAGAATAGACAGGCACCGTCCGAAATAGCAGTATTTGTTTGTAATATGGTTTAATTAATATGGAGATATATATTCGTAGACTTGGTGTTTCATTCGTATTCATCGTGATCCTGAAAGGAGCGAGATACAAACAACTTGCGGTTGCTTCTACTTGAATGAATTCTTCCTTTGTACTCTTACTTGGGCAAGCAGTTCTTCAATAGACGCTGAACACGGAACCGTCGTTGTATGGGAACAGTCATTATAAAATGATCATCATTTCGTATGGTAAATAGCCGGGCTCGGTGTAAGGATCGAGACAGGATAAACAGTTTCCAGCCCACATATTCTTCGCCATCTTCATCCTGCGAGGGGCTTAGTGCTACTATTTAGGTTGTGTTGTCTTAGTTATCCCTACGGTGTACCTTTATGTCACTAGTACCAGTAGTATCATTGCCCGATAAAATGAATGATACAACATAATGGGTACGAAATGCCGCCGCTGCTGCCTGCCGCTACTGGTGAAGAAGCTATGTGCCCGAGATGTGGCACGGTGTGTGGGGTTTAGGCCCGTCTTGTCCTAAAGTATCAAAGCTCTAGGTAGCAATTTCACTAAAATATCACCATCCTACGGTTGTTCTAACAGTTTCTGAATCTAAATCGGTAATAGGTTTAACGGAGGGCCTTACCACTCCGCGGTTAACGCCCTAGTGAAGGTCCACGTGCCACTCGCGTACGCGGTTTTCGTTTCTAATCCTTGTGGTCACTCATATAATAAGAACTCAGAAACTTGTGGCGTGAATATTGTCCATGTTAAGCTTATGGCTGTCTGCGAAACGTAGAATTACTGAAACTTCCTATGAAATATACTGGTCGGCGGTATGACCATTGTTCAGTAGATCTACTATAATGTATTCCTTAATTTCTAAACATTAATACGATCAATAGCGACATGTGGATGCAAAAGAAGCTTCAGTAGAGGGGCTTACCATAAAATTCGTTTACTTTATGGCACCGTGAAAATTTTTGTTTTACATAGTTAAGGGTTTGGCTGTGTTGTTTGGCGAATTCTATTGTATTACAAAGGTTTGCTTTGGAACTAGATTGTTCCGAAATGATAGACCAAGTGTTAGAATCCACTTAGTTATCATGTATATCTGATTAAATCCTCTGAACGTAGAGTAAAAGTGTGAAGCAGAAGAGATTTTCTGAGTAGTGACAGCATATCGTCGTGCATTTAGAGACAGTTCTGAGAGTGTTAAAGGAGTTACAATTCTGCGTTCAGACCTCCTGTCTTCCATTGAGTCCTTCATTGCCTCCCGTCGCTCATGTACGTCGCGTAGATATACCGCGAAGTCGTTATTTTCAATATAGCACGACAAGATGCGTTCGTTGCCTGTTTTTCAAAGCCACAACGTTGGGGCGCTTCAAACTGGGTCCATGTTAACCAGACATGATTCACGACGTTTGCGACCCAACCATTATGCTGGATATATTGCAGTGGCCTAAATGCCCCATCTGGGTCACTCTGTTCGTTTACGTTATGACGATTAGCTTCGACCTAGCGATTAGCGTAATAGCGGAATAGGCTTATGCCATAGATAATGCCGATGTACATGTGAAAGCCTGGAAATCGGACGATATCAACATGTTGAATTGCGATGTCCACTATTGTTCATAATCACGGATCTTGAAGAAATGCATCCTCGTTTTGTCACCTTTTATATTTCTAACGACAATGACAATGGAAAGGAGACAGCGCTTTGCTTTCTATGAGTTAATATTTTTATTGCCTTCTTTGTTGCAGTGAGACTGGTGTCTTTGACAGCTTTAATGGCCATTCAGTTAACGGGCGCCAGCCTGGACAAAGTGGTGGGGGCGGCGGGAGTAAAACGCCGGGTGATGGGCCGGCTTCGGCGGACGCAGAAAACGGCGTGGTTCCGGAGATCCGGCACGGAAAATCTTGCTTCGACCTTCCAAGCCACGCGTTGGCATACATGCGTCCGCGGGTGGTCGCGGCTCACACCGGACCCAATCGAGGCTTATGCTCCGTCACGCCAGATCCAATCAACGCTGAGTCGAGTAGCAACGTGAATGAGGTCCCCATACAACAGGTTGAGCAGCAGCGGCAGAAGCAGAAAGCCACACCAAAGGCATTCTTTCCTACTCTCGACACGAGCATGGAGTTCATCGATGAATCTTCGCCGAAGAGATCACAAGGTATGTATGTATAATGAGTAGGACCTAGAAGAAGGAAGAGAATTAAACAGGGAGCCTGTTATAACAGGTTAGGCGTGTGGAATAAAAAAAAAACTTTACTAAAAACGCACTCATTTTACTAATTTTTTGTTCTCGTCGACACGCTTTTTCAGTTCTAATCCTCTCTGTGTTGAGCGACCTCCTAAGATCTTCAGTTTGAAACTTCATGCCTACGCCATTATGGTCCGTAACGTGGGCACCGAACCTAAGCAGTTCAGTTCTTCGGGCCTTAAGCAACTGAACGCAGTAAGCGTCCTCTTACCTCGTTGTATTTCGCAGATGTTAAAGCGTACGTGTGAGGTAGCGTCTTCGATTGGAAGCGCTGAAGTTTCAGTGGTTTCACGGGCTCTAAAGGGATTGCACGCTTCTACACATAAACGCTGTAAGCCGATTAGATATGAGAAGATTCAAATTAATCGTTGAGGGGCAAGCCTTTTTTACATTAATATCTAGAGTCATACTTCCTCGCATTCACAGACGGAAACATATGTAATTCGTAATGTGTCACTTAGTTTCTGTCAATTGGACTAAAAACAGGAACTCTTTCAATGAAGAACAGAAAGCACGTTTTCGCATTTTTTGACTCCCCCCACCATATTCGGCTATCAAATGAGTGGATACTTTCTCTGAAACGGTGAATCCGAAATAAGTTTCCACTATACGATAGCTAAACGAAGTCATAGAACAGGCACGAAAATATCAAGAAATACCTCATATCAATGTAATCGATAGATATTCTGGAATGGCTGGTTTGACTATGTAAGCGTATTCATTTTTCTGTTCCGCAGTAAATGCATATACAATACATGCGGGCAATGCACGTACAGGTAACGTGCTGGCGATCGGCAACATTTTTTAGCCAATTGTACCATAAAACTTTTCACGTCACCGCCAGCGAAGTGGACACACTCGCACATGTTGGATAGTTATTTGAAGACCTGCGATGTTTCGACACTGCTCGATCTCTCGCCAACTGTTTTGCAGATTATTTCGTTGCCTTCACCCACCACCATCGCTAACGATGCCCCGAGGCGTGTGCCACTAGGTGATCGTAAGTAATTCCATGACGAAATGAAGTTGGAACATTTTTTGTTAGTAGTCATGTTACAGCAATCTGCTGCTACTGGTATCATGGCCGTTCGCCTGTGTTAATTCGTATGTATTATATGCCACAAAGACTGGCCACGTAACAGAAAAACAACGCTTAAGTATTGAGGGTCCGAAGGAACGCAACGGGACACTATTTGTTAAGCAAAACTGATTTATCACGACCGACCGTACGAATCTGTCCGGGCTGTTAGGGAGTCGCACGACAAATGAATACAGTTTGAACGCAGAATTTTGCCTTGCTACGTTCCGGTGAGTGCTGGAGCGCGACGACCGGATAATAACAGCGTCTCGTTTTCTGCATAGGGATACTAGTAGATTTAGGGAAGCACCGATCCTTTGAATTATGCATTGAAAGGTAGATGCCAAATGAGTTCCAGTGTTGCAATTTCGTTTAAGCGGCATGTTTTTCATGGGAGTTATTAAAAAACAACGTCAAACCCTTGAAAAAATCAGGCAATCCGAGGCAAATCCTCCCTGTGCGTTATCTAATTGTCAACAGACTGACGTGGTCGTAGGGTCGGAGACAATGTCAAATATGAATTTTGGATGTTGGAGTTGGAAAAAAAAATACATACTTGGCCAGAGTTTGAGCCTCAGTAGCAAACGACACAGACAGATATCTAGGTCATTTCAAAAATATGGATATAAAATCTAGGCTACATCGTTTGGCTAGTATCAGCGTCAAACGAGACCGCCTCTTCACTTAACGATGATTCACCTACTTCATGAAAAACCTATGATGGAATAAAATCTTCTTGGAGTTATTTAAATTAAACTAGAACAGTCTGCAGCGCCAGTGCATGCAGCGCCAGTGCATGCAGCGCCAGTGCAGACGCGACACCGAACGCCTTTTGCTCAACACGCCCTTCGATATTCCATTTAATCTTCATACGTCCATGATGTGTTTTTCGTATATCTTAGAGAGAACCGATGGCCGCCGAGGATAGCCATGGCATCAAGCATACATCTTCGACGCTCGGTTATTTACCGGTGAAGCTCTTTTTAACAGTGTGAGTTTCTCAATCCATAGCTCTCGTCAGTCACGTGTTAGTAACCGATACGTGATTCGAGCGAGACGTTTAAAACGGCGAAATTATCTTCCCATTACCGTTACTGATTGCGAGGATACTGGGGAAGTAATTGGTTTGGTAACTTGTTTTTATCCTAGCACAATTAAACATCAAAGTGTTAAGCCGACGGATAATTTCAGTATATTATCAAGCTACTAAACATTTGCTGTGTCTTAATTAATTTTTTAAGTGTTTATGTTTTTTAGAAAGCTAGCCTAAAGTCGACAAAGTTGAATTCGGGTTATTTTTAACGAAAATTTACCGTCATATTTTGAAAGATGATAACGAATCCCCGTGGCTTTGGGGGCGCTCACGTTCATCTATGTAAACGTGTATGTTTCTTGGTCCACTGTGATTCGCCGACCCGCATTCCGACATCTATAAAACAAAAAACAACCTTGTTAACTACCACCGCGGCAATTGCAATGGTTACTATAGTAAAACGATGAATCGTGGATTCATGCAATGTCCATAGCCAGCTATTGAAATAACAGATAACATTACAGTGATAATTTGTACCAGAAGTCGATGCTGTCAATTTTCCGCATTTCTGGTCATGATGAAGCTCTCACTATACGATAGCGAGCACAGACGTTATCAGGCGATGAGGTGTCTGCAAGTCCTATGATGGCGGTGACAAGCAGCCTTATTTGAACATCGTTTTTACCACTGTCTCGGATCATCGTCTCTGTCTGTTTCACAAGCTAGTGATATGATATCGCTGCGTATTTTTGATACTACACCTTTTTTGCTGCTGCTGCTGTTGCGGTTGTTATTGACAGATTTTGGCAGATGCTTATGTAGATTGCCGGATTAAACGTTCATTTAGATGCGGACCTCATAAGACCACAATAATCATTATGCTGATCCATACTTACGGCGACGGTTCCCTTACGCCGCGTCGTGCGTCACTCGCCGAAATTACTGAGAGCGGTGTCACTTATTATATTGCATAGGCTCATTCAGCCACCCAGAAGATGCGCTTACTGAAGACTCATCACCGCTGCTGCTGTTATTGTTGCTGATGTGCCTGACGCACTCGCTGGTTGCGCCAAACATGCCACAAGAATGGGGAAGAGCGCTGTTATCTGTAATGCCGCGTTACGTGCTTTGTTCGTGCATGTCACAGAGCACTTCGACAGAATAAGTGAGAGAGCATTAGCTAGACTGAGGTGCATTTACGATCTGTATTTATTACATAATATATCTATATCTGGCCAAGTGGCGTCGGGTCTGCTGCTAAATTAAGTAAGCGCGTGCTCACTATGCTAGTAACTATAAAAGACAGCGACTGATATAAAACAGTGACATCATTCACTGGCATCAATGTAATCATTTATCAGCAGAATAAAGGTACAATGCGATATTTGAGTATGTTATAAGGTCCGTCACTCTTGCTAAGGACACGAGGCGGCCTAATCTACAAATTCTGTCGTAGCCAGCCCACCAGTGAGTCAGTCAGTCAGTCAGTCAGTCTGTTATTTTCGTAATTCCCCTATGTCTCCATTTTCTCCGCTGGTCATAGGCAAATTGTCGAATAAAACTCGCCTTGTGGCCCTGTTTTATTCTGTCTTGTCTCGGTTCGATGAATAAATGGATGAATGCAATTTGTTCAGCGATCGTTGTTATGATTCTCGCTGTCGATGCCACACGATCAACACTGATGGAAACAACCACACGCACGCACATACACACACCCGCATGCACACATACGTGCGTAAATACGTATACACGCACACCCAACAACTATGTTTGATAGTTGATCTGGTATCCGCAACGCCGGCAGCGGCCGCGCAACAAAGGTTGCTGGCAACGTTCACTCAGTCCTTTGATATGATTTACGGTTGACTTTGATAAACTGTTGATGCTTTTCGAAGAACGACGCCTACTAAATGGGTACTGTTAAAATTTTAGAAGCGGGAGCAGCAGTGGAAAAGGCATGAAGCGTATATAAACGCATATGCACGTCTAGTAGACATTGAATATAGCCTCATAGCATATGTGTTCAATTTCAATGGTCGACCCCCTGATCCTGCTACGGTACTAGCGCTAGTGGAATTGCCTCTCCACCCTGTCATCCCAGAAAAGTGTAACTACAACGATAAGCCAGACTAGGATGGCATGCTCCGCGGTTCGTACGAGACCCCTAACTGTATAAAGAGGAAACATTAAAATTAAGATTTAAGATTTGTAAGGTTTCAAGTCCCTTTTTGTAGTTTACGTTAAGATATGGTGGTTACTGTTCATATCGTCTGATAGTGTACCACGACGTGATTGAATCAAAGAACAATTGGGACCATATATTATGGCATACATAATTCAAGCTTCTCTTTTGCATAAATATTACCCTATTGTCCCTGCAGAGAGGGTAATCTCAGCATGCGCTTTTTTTACCAGGATCTTGCAGGCTTGTCCTATTGGCATGTTCTTTTTATTACGTTAACACGATATAAATTGCTCGAGACCACTTTTGCTTTCATAAACACGACTGTGGGAGCTGCTATTTTTGGCCTATAATATGGCTAAATGTAGGCCTCTTTCGTGGGGGGTCCATATTAGATTTCAAACAGAAACCAAACCGAGTTACAGGTGTTGTGATTTCTTGTTCGTTCTCTTGAATAGATGGGACGAGGTCTTTCAATAAAATCCATTTCACCTGTCTATAGTGTTACGGTTTTCTTTTTTTGCGGGCGGATGCAGCAGAAGGCGATCCAAATAGAATTCGTGGAGCATTTCAAACAGGAAATTTCCAATATTTCTGAAGAGCCCCCCTTAGCTATA